GCTACTTAAAAACAACCACACTGTCTTTTTCCTGTATTTCTCCTGAAGATACCTGTGGGTTTTTCTTTGTATCCTGAACAATTCTGGCAGTTGTGGCTGCAATCTTTCTTGGTCCACCTGACCTTGGCTTCCCGAATTTTCCACTATAAGTAATTGAACAGTACTTACTTGCATATTCAAGACTTTGGATATCTTTTTATATCCTTTTCCATCTTTATAAAGTTCCATTACCTTGTTACACATGTCTTTTGACAGTTCTTTTCTGCTCCCCATGGCTCAGTATCTAACCTGCTCAGTGCATCCATGTGAAAGCTAACAAGCACATCAACAATTTATACACAAACACTAATTGCGATGTAAAATTAAATTTTGCTTGCCATTTTAACCTGTGTGTGCCACTTTGTGTCTGTAGCAAGGCCAAACATTCCAGGGTAAGTAAACTTTTCTTATCATTATGATTAAAAAAGGAGCCAAACAACTATGTGCTAATAAATGGCTTTGTATGATCACTATCCTTAAATAAAAGACAGTTTTTTGGACTGATCAGTTATATTTTCAATATCATAGCCAAAATTTCATATTTTTTTTCCAGGGCATGCAAACTTTTGAGCACAACTGTATATATACACTACTGAAAAAATGAACACTTTTTAAACAGAGTATAGCATCAAGTCAATTAAACTCCTGGGATATTGATCTGGTCAGTTAAGTAGCAGAGGGGGTTGTTAATCGGTTTCAGCTGCTTTGGTGTTATAGAAATTAATAACAGGTGCACTAGATAGGCAACAATGAGACGACCCCGAAAACAGGAATGGTTTTACAGGTGGAGGCCACTGACATTTTTTTCCCTACTCATCTTTTCTGACTGTTTTCACTAGTTTTGCATTAGGATAGTGTCACTACAGGTAGCATGAGGCAATACCTGGACCCTACAGAGTTTGCACAGGCAGTCCAACTCCTCCAGGATGGCACATCAATACCTGCCATTGCCAGAAGGTTTGCTGTGTCTCCCAGCACAGTCTCAAGAGCATGGATGAGATTCCAGGAGACAGGCAGTTACTCTAGGAGAGCAGGACAGGGCCGTATAAGGTCCTTAACCCATCAGCAGGACCGGTATCTGCTCTGTTGTGCAAGGAGGAACAGGATGAGCACTGCCAGAGCCCTACAAAATGACCTGCAACAGCCCACTGGTGTGAATGTCTCTGACCAATCAGAAACCGACTTCATGAGGGTGGCCTGAGGGCCCGAAATCCTCTAGTGGGCCCTGTGCTCACTGCCCGTCACCATAGAGCTTGATTGACATTTGCCATTGAACACCAGAATTGGCAGGTCTGCCACTGGCGCCCTGTGCTATTCACAGATGAGAGCAGGTTCACCCTAAACACATGTGACAGATGTGAAAGGGTTTGGAGAAGCCATGGAGAACGTTATGCTGCCTGTAATATCATTCAGAATGACCATTTTGGTGGTGGGTCAGTCAGTCTGGGGAGGCATATCCATGGAGGGACACACAGACCTCCTACATAGACAATGGCACCCTGACTGACATTAGGTATCATGATGAAATCCTTGGACCCATTGTCAGACCCTACACTGGTGCAGTGGATCCTGGGTTCCTCCTGGTGCACAACAATGCCGGCCTCATGTGGCAAGAGTATTCAGGCAGTTCCTGGAGGATGAAGGAATTGATACCTATGAATGGCCCCTATGCTTGCCTGACCTAAATCCAATAGAACGCCTCTGGAATACCATGTTTCAGTCTATCCGACGCTCAGATTGTCCAGGAGCTCAGTGATGCCCTGGTCCAGGACACCATCTGTCGTCTCATTAGGAGCATGCCCAGACATTGTCAGGCATGCATACAAGCACGTGGGGGTCAAACAAACTACTGAGTACCATTATGAGTTGCTGCAATGAAATTTCAGCAAAATGGACTAGCCTGCTGCATCATTTTTTCACTTTGATTTTCGGGGTGTCTTTGAATTCAGTCCTCTGTAGGTTGATAATTTTCATTTCCATCAAATGATGGGGAATCCTTACATTCCTAACACATTACCCAGTCCATATCAGTATAGATATCCAGCATGATATTTTTCCCCACTGAGATCTGCTGTGGTTTCAAAGTGTTCCTTACATTTTTTTTTTAGCAGTGTATAATATATATTATATACATAAATACACACAGGCACACTTTATTCAGGTCAGTTACTTGGCAGTCTGCATTTCTCAGTGCATAGATCTTTAAAAGCTATACAGATGCTGAGAAGAGGCACACAAGAAAGGGGTCATGCTACTTCTATAACATCCAGGATGCATCAATAAGCCTTTGTGCCGGCTTATTCACCATCAGAAAGGTAAACGGTTTGAGGAATATAACAGACAGGAAATAGAGGGGGGTTTTTTTTTTTGTGTGTTTTGCTGTGAGGACATAAGAGCATTTCAAATTCATTCTACCTCTTCATAATGTACACATGTGGTTTAATTTGGTAAAGGTCTTGCTAATATTGTATGAAAAATAATAAAAGAGGAATTGCCCAGAGCTATGCTGGTATTCCCTTTTTACACTGCTGAGAACTATCTGATGTGGAATAACAATATTTAAATGTATAAAGCATGGCTGTGCATAAAAATATCTTCTCATGAATCATACCTTATATAACTGTTCACAACTGCTCACAGTAGAGTTCCAATATGTTTCATCTGCCTGCTAGAAGTATATCATCTAACATAGTTCTGGCATGTTACATAGCTAGAGCTTCTAGGTGCCTGACCTTCCCAGGATAGACCTTGTTTTTAACACTGAAAATGCTGATATTCTCCAAATATAGATTTTTACCTCTTTATGATCAGATTACTGACATTCTCACTCTCTATATTGCTTTTCTGTTGTGACATCCAAATCTTTATATTGCTGATTTTTGTGGTAAATCTCTCTTGTATTACAAATCAAATATTGAGCAATCTGCTGGCACTGTGGATTGCTTTTCAGAGGGGTGTCAAGGTCTGCTGCATGGCAGAACAAGCTCTAACACACACAGCCCTTGTTTATCCCAGGCAAAGACATATTATGCCCCAGGCGGGGCAAAAGATTTGGCCTCTCTTTCTCCTGTATATACTGTATATATACAACATATTATTAGTTGCCATGATAAGCCTCCAAACCCATCACACTTTTTTTAGGGGCTTCATGGTAATTACCTTTTGTAAGTTAATTAGTATTTGCCTGCTGATTGCCTTAATGTGTTACTAGACCCACAACAGTAAAATCAGCCTGCATATACAGTAAAGCATGCTTGTTATACTCACTGTGGAACCTAAGGGGTTAATCCACCACATTGTGTAAAAATGATATTTGATCCTGTCTTCTCTGATCCTCCCCTTCTTCCAGTGTATCCTAAATATCTCCTGATAGAACAGAGGCTCGGGGGCAAACTGCACATGCTCTGTTTGGTGTGTATTGCTAGAGAGTTTTTTTTTTCTTGAGAGAGTGCATGTGATCGTCACAGGGCCAATCAGCACTGTCCAGATAGAGGTCAGGGGTCCTGCATACTTCTACAGGAGAATGAAAACTCCTCCTACAAGCTGTTACCAGTGCTCTGCTGGACATTGATAGAAGTCACAAGACTGCTACTGTATATACTGCTGATGAGAAAAGGTATTTAGCAGTTTATATTTACTAAAATAAATGCATTTCCATATTCTGTGCACTGTGGGAGACCAGACAGAGTGAATGCAGGGTCCTGGGTTTAGTAACATTTTCATTCTTTTTCTTGTTGTTTCTACACTTCTGAGGTCATATTCCTTCGTCATTGTCATCCTTACCCAAGCAAGAAATATACATCAACTTCCATGGAATGAAAAGCAGTGACATTTTTCTTGCTTGATATAATTATGCTATAATTGTACCTTGAGAATCAAGAAACCATGTTTTCACACCTTGACTGGATTTTTCTGAATTCCTATGCTTCTAAATATATCTCCACTATAGACAGGCCCGAACTGCCCATTTCTCAGTTCCTCTATGTTACATCCAGCCGCCCCTCCTATCCATCTCCTGCATGCCGTGGGATCCTGTATGCTCCGCCCATAGCTGACCCGCCCTCCTGCAGTACAAGGCTGTGTTCCCCCCTCCCTGCAGAGCATCTGTCAGCATATTCTTTCCCCAGTGCTGACAGTCACACCCCCCCCCCCCACCACCACAGATGGGAGAGGAGAGAGAAAGCTGGTTCTGCCCCTCTTCCTCCCACCCTCTCCTCCTGTGTCTGCCCCACCCACATTCCCCACCAGCCTTTTGCCTTCTTTCTTTCCTTTCTTTCCTTTCTTTCTTTTCTTTCTTTCCTTTCCTTTCCTTTCCTATCTTTCTCCAAACATGGAAAGGTTTCTTCACAGTAAGAGCTGTGAAAATGTGGAATAGACTCCCTCAAGAATTGGGTCTGGACAGCTAATGGATTGCTTTAAAAAAGGCCTGGATTCTTTCTTGGATACACAAAATATAACTGGTTACTATGTACAGGTAAAGTTGATCCAGGGAATATCCGATTGCCTCTCTGGGGATCAGGAAGGAATTTTTTCCCCTGCAGGAGCAAATTGACTCATGCTTTGCTGGGTTTTTTGCCTTCCTCTGGATCAACTGTGGGTGTAGGATTATAACTTTTTTTTTTACTGGTTGAACTGAATGGACGTTTGTCTATTTTCAGCCAGACTAACTATGTAACTATGTAAGCTGCAATTTCTGACATGTTTGGTTTTGGGTTTAACTACTTGCCAACCGCAGATAGCCGAATGACTGCTACACTGTGGCCGGCCAGTTCTGGAAGGGCGTCATATGAAGTCGTCCCAGAACGCGCTCTCCTGCGCACCCCCAGGGGCGCGCACCCGGTGATCTCCGTGATCGCTGTGTCCTACGGACACAGCTGATCACGTGATGTTGTAAAAGGCCAATCACAGCAGCCTTTTACCACGTGATCAGCCGTGTCCAATGACACGCTGATCACCGGGAAATTCAATTGCCAGTTCTCGGCTGCACTTTCCTCACGCTGTCAGATCGTGAGGAAAGTACTGCCGAAAACCGCCAGTTGTCAGAGCAGGGATCGTCACCGATCATCAGGGCACTGATGATCAGTGCCTTGATGATCGGTGCCCAGCAGTGCCACCCACCAGCTCTGCCCACCTGTGCCCAGCAGTGCGCCCACCTGTGCCCAGTAGTGCACCCACCTCTGCCCAGCAGTGCGCTCACCTGTGTCAAGCAGTGCACCCACCTGTGCCACCCAGCAGTGCCACACACCTGTGCCCAGAAGTGCCACCTACCTGTACCCAGCAGTGCCACCCACATGTGCCCACCAGTGCCACCCACCTGTGCCCACCAGTGCCCATCCGTGCAGCCCAGCAGTGCTGCCAGTCAGTGCCACCAATCAGTGCCCAGCGGTTGTGCCAGTCAGTGCCCAGCAGTTGTACCAGTCAATGCCTAGCAGTGCTGCCAGTCAGTGCCACCTGTCAGTGCTGTCTATCAGTGCCACCTATCAGTGCCGCCTATCCGTGACACCTCATTCGTGCTGCCTATCAGTGCTGCTTATCAGTGCCCATCAGTGCTGCCTATCAGTGCCCATCAGTGCCGCCTATTAGTGCCCATCAGTGCTGCCTCATCAATTTTTTGCACTTTTTTCTTTATAGCGCAAAAAGTAAAGTGCTCAGTAGCAAATAAATACCACCAAAAGAAAGCTCTATTTGTGAGAAAAAAATGATAAGAATGTCATATAGGTATAATCTTGCATGACCGCGCAATTGTCAATTAAATTGCGACAGCGCTAAAAGCTGAAAATTGGCCTGGTAAAGAAGGGGGTATAAGTGCCCGGTAGGCAAGTGGTTAATATTGCTTTAACCTCACACTTTATGCATGCCCTGGAGGTGCAGATTTACTGAAGGCACATATAGTCTTGTCATAATAAAATTAGAGGCTTCTGTGTACGACTGAAAGAGATAATTAAACCGATTACTGCGACCATTACTGACCTTGACCTGTACGACCACCCAGAATCCTGTTTGCTCCACTATTCCCCTCATACAAAAATCCCTCTTGATTCATCTCCTGAATGCAGCTAGATCTTACATCCCTGCCCCCTGAAAGCAGGAACTTCCTCCAACCCTCACACAATGGTTCTATAAAATAAACAATATCATATATATGGAAGCTCTCACAACTTCTTTAAAACACCATGAGGGAAGGTTCAGACTCACCGTTTTTTCTGGATTCAGTATACAGTGCCCAGCATAAATGAGTACACCCCCCTTGAAAAGTAAGAATGTATTCAATACTTCAATGAACACAAGAACAATTTCTAACATTTTGACAAAACTGAGTTTTATAGAACATTTGTTTAGCTCATTACATGAAAGTAAGGTTAATAATAAAACTTAGATTACAAAATCTTCAGTTTTAATCAAATTAGTTGATGCAAAAATGAATACACCCCACAACAAAAACTACTCCATCTAGTATTTTGTATGACCTCCAAGATTTGTAAGGACAGCACCAAGTCTTCTAGGCATGGAATTAACAAGTTGGCGACATACTATATTGCAACATCTATCTTTTTCCATTCTTCAAGAATGACCACTTTTACAGCCTGGATGCTGGATGGAGAGTGATGCTCAACTTGTCTCTTCAGAATTCCCCATAGATGTTTGATTGGGTTCAGATCAGGAGACATACTTGACTACTGAATCACTTTCACCCTGTTCTTCTTCAGAAATGCAACAGTGGCCTTAGATGTGTGTTTTGGATCATTTTCATGTTGGAAAAATGCACAATGACTAAGGGCACGGAGTGATGGTAGCATCTTCTCTTTCAATATAGAGCAGCACATCTGTGAATTCATGATACCATCAATGAAATGCAGTTCCCCAACACCAGCAGCACTCATGCAGCCCCACAGAAGGACACTGCCACCACCATGTTTCACTGTAGGCACCATGCATGTTTCTTTGTACTTCTCACCTTTGCAAATCCATACAGTTTTGAAGTCATCAGTTCCAAAAATATTTATCTTGGTCTCATCACTCCAGAATACAGAGTCCTAGTAGTCTTCTTCTTTTTCAGCATGGGCCCTGGCAAATTCTAGGTGGCTTTTTGTGCATGGGCTTTAGGAGAGGCATCCTTCGTGGATGACACCCATGCATGGCAGTGTACAAAACAATCACCCCAGTTTGGCTTTCTACCTCTTTAGCTCACTGCAGTGAACTTGCATGGCAATTTTTTTCAACCCTGCTAATCAGAAGACGGTCCCATCGAGGTGTTAACTTCCATGGACGGCCTAGACGTATATGTAAGATGGTTGCAGTTCCGTCTTTGTTAAATTTTTGTATTACTTTTCCTACAGGATTCTGACTGATAAATAAAGCTTTGCTGATCTTCTTGTAGCCTTCACCTTTCTTGTGTAAAGCAAATATTTTCTTTCTCAGGCCTTGTGACATTTCTCTTCCATGTGGTGCCATTGCTGACAGCATGAAATGGGAAGGGGTTTTCTTTGTTAAGTAGCACCCTTTTAGTATCAGCTGTCTGCTGGACACCTGTTTAATTAATATTTAGACTCACCTCTAGTTGAATTCTTGTTAATTAGGATTTTGTTGTCTAAAATTTAGCTTTGCCCTAAGACTTTCATTGGGGTGTATTCATTTTTGCAACATGGTGTTGAATGAATTTGTTACAAAAAATGCTTTTTTTTGTGTGTGCAAAGTAACAAATCTTGTTTGCAATCAATGGCCCGCATTTATGGGAGTATTTTTTAGTATAGTGTCCCATAGAAAATGTTGACTCTGAAAGGAAAGTAAAAGTTTTCTGACAAATATGTTTGGGGTGTACTCATTTATGCTGAGCACTGTACCTGTTCCCCAAAATACAAATCTATACCAGAGCAGTTGGACTAGATACCACACACACTCTCTTTATCCCTCACTCCCCCCTCTGAACTACTGTCCTATCCTAAACCTGTCCTCCATCCAAACCCATTTCCCCACACCCCTGATCTTCCTGTACTACCTTCCTAGCCTCCCTTGACTTTTCCTAGGTTTTTCTACTACAATTCCCCAAACTCTTTTCCCCTGCTTGTCTGGACCTACTTTGTTTCATGCTAACACACTTAAGACTCACCTAAATGCCTTATCCAGTATTTTTGTCTATTTTCTGTCAAGCTCATGGTCCAAGGTAACATGACTTTTATGTGTTAATATTTTTTGACAGTTTGAACTATTACCCTGACCTCTGTAATGTATACTGTGTACAAGATACGTTTCATAGCATATTATGATCATTGTTATGTCCTTGATAAAAACAAAACTTAAAATAAAGAATTTAAAAAAATAGTGTGAGCTAAAAGTATACTGGAAATATTATTTTATTATTTATAGGAAATGTGTTCATTTATAGATGCTGAACAAGTTAATAAGTTTAAGATGCCAATATTTTTTTTTTTCACAGTTGCACTGTTCCAGGTGGCATGTGGTTCCTTCAAAATTGGCCAAAACTAACCATGAATGGTCACCTTTAAGCTTCCGTAATTGTGGTCAGACGGGTACCATGCACCACATTTAATGGCTATGTAATACAGTCTGAAAGTTCTAAATAGGAGTCTTTACTCTAATCCACATGGCCACTCAAGTTAATGTTCTCAAGACTTCCCAGATAGTCCTCCTAAGTTACCCTAAGTTACTATTTCTTAATTATGGTTACCCCCTGAAACGTTCTAAGAATACATTAAATTGGATTATGCTTAAAAGAAGAATACTGTCATGAACAGCACAATTGCATAGTGATCCAAATGAATCTTGCAGTGCTGCTTTAAGCTAAGACAGAGATCTTTGCGCCAGTTGCAGTGAAGGGAGCTGGCGTCAGTGCACCATTCAGAGGTGTAAGAGCATTATCAAAGAGAATTGATAACCACTATGCAACTGTCAAAGAGAATAAAAAGGTGCCACTCACTAACCCAGTGCATTAGTATGTAGATGAATGTGGCCAGCACCGATCCAGTTATGCCGCCCCCCCTGACATGTTTCGCCCTGCTCACCAGGGCTTGGTCAGAGAGCCTCAGTGAGCTTCAGTGAGCTGGATGAACCATATCAGAAGGCTGGAGCAGTACTGGCTGAAGCCACATTAATTTACATACTAATGCACTGGGTTGGTGAGCAGCACATTTTCTTCTCTTTGACAGTTGCATAGTGGTTATCAATTCTGCCTAGCAGCACTGGGGTCTTTGGTTTCAATTCTGGCCGGGACACTATCTCCATTGAATTTGCATATTCTACCTGTGCTTGGGTGGGTTTCCTCCTGGAATTCCACTTTCCTTCCACACAAGACATGCTGGTGGTTTGATTGGCTCTAGTATGTGTGTGCATGCATGTAGGCATGTGAATTGGGGACCTTACAGTGTAAGCTCCTCGAGGACAGGAACTAAAGTGAAGGTACAGTATGTAAATCCATGCATAAAAACTATTATATAAAGGCCTATAATAAATAATAAACATTAGAAAGCAGACAGTCTGGCCTCCATGGATTCAATACACCCACAATCAAACAAACCCATGACAATGCTTGCCATTCTGACTGCTTGGGATTTATTTCCCTTAACCAACAATATTAACAACCACACAACATCAATGTTGCAACAATATGTTTACCAATCTAAAGCTACTTGTAAAGCTATTACTTTTCTATTATAAATGTTTCACTTGTATCCATGCTATACACACATCTTCTCTTTTTCATTTCCTACTTTCCTCCCCAATATACTCTTTATCATTGTTATTCTTGATCTGCCTTTTATTTGCACTAATATGCAAGTCTATCTCTTTATTAAACAGTAGTGTGCTGCATAAATTTGTAAAATGTTCAGGGTATAAAAAATATTAATGAATATCCTTGATTTTTTTTTTTACTTGTTCAAATCTGTTTTTATATGTTTTGTACTCCTCTATGTCTGTACTTAATAACAGATTCTGTATATTGCCCTTGCTTTCTCTCGAAAAAATAAAGCAGAGAAAAATGAAAAAGCTTATAAAGAACATTTCTAAATCTCAGCATTTTTTTTTTTCAAGAGTAATTTTAAAATCCTGGTTAGACTGTAGAGAAACGTGTTTGTAGGCTTATACGTCAACATGTCAAAGCATGACAATCGGCTGTGGATTTAAAGGCCAAGTTCACCTTTACAAATAATAATAAATGCCAAATACTTTAAAGAAAAAAAAAGTGCATTTATTTTTTTTTTTACGGGAACCTACAAAGCATTGCACCAGTGTTCAGTAGGTCATGGGTGCAATGTCAAGCTCCTGCACACTCTCCCCTCCAGGTTTCTGCCTGTACTTTTGTATGGGC